AAAAGGGCCGATAACGAGGTAATTAGTGAATTGAACGGCGCATCAGTAAGTCTTTTAACATTTTATGTTTTACCTATTTCTATATGTGAAATCGTGCATAGTGTTTCTATGCTTTGTCTTATTGTGTGTAATCAGTACTAAATCAGTGACCGATGCGTCGGTAAGTTTAGATACCTGCGGGTATATCAGATCATCATCAACGGGCAGAGTAATGATGATGTATAGCATCAGCAGGTGGACTGATGATCAGAACAGTGTGTAAAAATCAGGCGAGGCATGGGGTGACTATAGGGGAGGTCAGAGGTCACTAAGGGGAACAGCCCCGTTACCAGTCATATCAGTGCTAGCGGATTTCAATGATTTGCGAATCGTAATCAGTGCGACATTGTAGGATGTGTGAATCAACTCAGATACTCTTGTCATTTAATTACCTATGGCGCTTGGCGCACTTGGCGACATAAGTACCTATAATTTTCAAGATGCGAAGAAATGATCTTTTGATGGAGTTTGAGTTTATTAAGTGTGTTTGTTTACAGATAATACACTGTTCTGGACATGAAGACAATTATACTGTTCCTATGAGAGGTATCGCATTCTAGGCGCATTGAGTTATAGAAAATGGCACCTAAATAAAAAAAATATATAATTTTATAATAACGGTTTTCCAAAGACATAATTTTATAAAATCCTTTTTGACTGTGATTTTTAATTGAACTTTACTTGGACGGTTGGTACAAAACGAATAAAGAAGTATTTAAAAAATAAAAATTATTTCTTGAAATCAAACTAGACGTCTCTAGCGATTTTCGGATAATTGTCTTATGATATTCATTCAAATTTTCTTTCTGACGTATTAAAAGTAAATTAAGAATCGCAAGGTAATTCTAATTTATTTGAATCGTAAGTTAAAGTTATTTATTACGTTACGTGTAAAGGAACGATGTTTGGATTATATGTCAACATTAGTGATGAGCCAACTTATTGGTTATTCGTAACTTCATTCGACTCGATTCATCCGAATTCAGGTTTGGAATGAAGAACAAAAATCAGAGCACAGAATTAAGCTTGTTTTTTTTTATGTGCAGTATTTCCATATGTGCCATTATGCATCTACACGACGACTGATAGTAATATAAATATAAAATCAATTCGGTCTATGTTGTTATATAGTACTAGTGAAAGTCGAAAACTATGCCAACGATTCGCAAAACTACGGCAGGAGACCTTGTCCTGAGAAGAGCCGGCAAGAAACTCAACGACGGCCGCTTATATCTCCCTGTTTTATTTCACAGAGAGAAATCTTCTTGGAATGTTACTTAATTAGACTATGATTACAACAATGTCACTTTCCATTACGATATCAAAAATAACAAGACAGATATTTTTTTATTACTGATTAATATGCCGGTTGCTGAGTCATACATACTCATTGACAAATCAATATACAATACTCACAATAAAAGAAAATTGGCGAAATCAAGTAGTCCTCATCCCAACTGGCAGCACCGGTTGACGAGCATGACGCACGAGCCAGCCATCGCTTCGATCAAGTATATATCAGGGCACGTAGCCACTTGACGCACACGAACCGCCGCAGAGATTTTAAAGAGAGCATGACTAGTCTAGGTACTTAGTAAGAAATATGTAGCAGATGGACTGTAGGCTGGATTTTAAAGCGGGCAGGTAGCAGAGGTCGCAAAGTAAAACACTTGGTTCGGAGAAAACACGGAGAACGTTCGAAGGCAGAACATGCTTTATTGCGAAAAATCGATTACAAGTACAATTTGGTTGATCGCACTTATATCTTATACAAATCAGGCAATCTTATTGGATTGCTTAGAGTGGGGGTACGCTACCCCGCACCGCGCGGGGAGGAGAATGTTTCGCTGTTTCTCCGCTGGCGGCGCTGTTGTCGCGGCGTGGCTCGATGTCCTTTACAAAATATATTTCAATAAAATTGATTTCTATAGTAAGTTAAGTAGGAAGCCAATCTATTATTGACAACATAATTGTAAGAACCAAAAAGCATAAACGCACCATACGAATTAACCTAACATCTGGCTCGACGTCCGCCGTCGACATGCAAGTTCAGTATAATAACTGTCTTTGTAATTTTGAAATTTAAAGTTATAACCGTGCTGTGCGTTTATTATTGATTGTTGAATTGTTATGATGATATTTTAATAACGAAGATAATTTAATTATAATATTTAATAACTGAGCCTAGAAAAAGAAATCTTAATTACGAAAGGGCAACTTATTTGCACGTTAAACTTTGCACAAACATCATTCTAGGCAGAAGTCATGTTATTTTGTACGAGTACCTAGTATATTTGTTAGATATCGGGTAAGTATATAGATAATAAACGGATTTTTTATTATAATAATCGTTTTTTTACCATTGTTCACCACACATAATATAAACACATTACTGAGACTTGATGTAGTTTCGTTGCTGTAAGTTCAACTAACAACTAAGAGCAGCAAAACTAATTTAGTTATTACTGTTTTCAGAAATTTTGTTAAATATAATGAAAAATGCCTAGACCTGAGGCAAATATAATGAAAAATGCCTAGACCTGAGGCATTTTTCATTATAATATATATATATATATATTATTATTATTATTATATATATAATATTATATACCTGTATTTTATTTATAAAAACTATTTCACTGTAATATTATTGTATACCGTAGCTAAATCTACTTTTAATAATTTCACAGTATTAATTCTATTGATTTCCATAGCTCATAAATGACCTTCTCTAAGTTCACTTCTATTAGTTAATTTCCATTTTCCTTTATACAATTTTTTTTTCTAAGATTCGTTCATATTAATCGAGTTGCGTTTGCGTAACTCTAACTCATTGAATTTCAACTAGATACAACACTAATGATTCTATTTTGTATGGTCTAATAGTATTTTTGTATATGTACTGCCGAAGCACATTTCGATCCTACGATTTGTGCTGCCATCTAATGACATATTTTTTTTTTGTAGTTTATCGTTTTTAATATGTACTTTCGCATTCAAAGATAATTACTTTTTGTGACTATTGGCGTTAGGCCTTTTATGTGAGATTTCAACAATATTAACACCACTTTCGTTGATGCTACAAATTTTAATATAGATAATTTCAATTGAATTCAATTTATTATTGCAATCCTGTTTGTAATATAAGAATTTCTACACAAAAACAGCACCATTACATGAACCCTGACAGGGCACAGCAACATCATCTAATAAACATTTACATGCAAAATAAATAAATAAACATAACGCATTTACATTTTTACTTTGAATCGTTCAATATGTATTATATTAAATCTCTTGATTATCCGAGTGAACTCAGTGTCTCATCAATAAAACACTGTCTAAATACATATTTAAAATTAATGTCTATTTCACTACACACAGTTTATTTATAGGATCATATCAAACAAATACGTACAGCTTTCGTGTCGTCCAGCAGATCATTGCCCGCTCACATGGCGCGATAAAACTTAATTTTGCTGACCATATTTTTAACCGCAGGACTTCAAATGAAGTTTCTTGAATTCGTAAAGTATCTTTGTGGTTTATCAAGTTCTAATACTTTCCGAGTGTTTTAGGCCTGAGCCCCAACAGTAGGGACATGATACATTGAAACGAATTGAAAACCTTTTCCTTTTTTTTAGTTTTATATAGGTAGCTATTAATAATACCTAGTCAATATATTTGCTTTGGTCCACTAGTAGGTACTCCAAATCAGCCTTAATTCAACAGGTAACCCATTAAACAAAATGCAACCCTTTACAGGCCGCGATAACAAAGCTCACAAAAAACTCATCGATATCAACCATAACCAGGGGTCGGAAACCGGTATATTTTTCGAAACGTTTTCATCTTAAATACCTAAAAAACACTTTGTTTCGGTTTCGTTCGAACAGAACGATATAAAAAACGATTTTGGAAAAAAACAGAATTATATTGTTTTCGGTTAATAAAACGTTTTTAACCATTTATTTTGCGTTTTTTTGCATCGCATACTGTAAATAACGTAATAAAATAAATGTACGCCGCCCTTACAGCCCGCGCGGCACCGTCTTGCGGATTAAACCGGTTGTTTAAAGCGTTCTCATTTCGTTTTCGTTTCGAACGCAATCTTGCCCAAAGAACCATAAGAAACGTTTTAAAAACGTTATTTTTAATAACGTTTCCGAGCCCTGACCATAACATCAACATTTAAATTCTGCCTACAGTAGCGCCTCTAGCGGCATATTAAAACGCGCACCTCATTTTATGGTTGGTTAAGCGAATTATTTCCTATGCCAACTTAATTTGAATTCAACAGATTGAAATTGGAATGAATTAAAGAATAATTGTTTTTATTTTCAATTTATTTAATGCATTATTTTATAATGAATCCCTATTTCCTTTGGTCACACTACCTACACACGTGAATGGCTGGACCGAATTCCCAATTTTTTTTTTGTTGTTTGTTATTGTCAGAAGGTTCTTATGAATGAAAAAAAAGGAAACTGAGGAATATTCGAAAATATAAGAATATTTCACCACCATATAAAATTATTACTTATCTAACCTTAGTGCTTTGCATAATATTAACTTTTTTAATATAACCTTATGACGTTTGACATAGAATTAAGAGAATGTGGGCTGCAAATATTGTAAAATAGGAGGTAAAAACTGTTCGAATTTAATATTAATGATTAAAATAGGACGTCGGCTCAGTTAGTAAATATACCTATACTATTGACTCTAAAAATATTATTTTTCTATCTCCTCCACACTAGATGGCGCTAAAAAGTAGATGATAGTAATTCTTTTACACACTAGATGGTGCTGTTAAAATAAATGTATTCGAGAAAACAGTAGTTTTTACTAGACATTACAAGCGAATTCTAGAAAACACCATAACAATGTTCTCGAAACAGTGTATAGGTGGCGCCGTCGACCGCCGGCTGTATATAAGCCGCCAGAACAGCTGTTTCGGCAGTCAGTACAGTGATTTTTTTGCAATCGAACTGCGAAGAAAGCGATAGAGCGTTATCTACTAGTCAAAATGTCAATGATTCCTTACTTTTCCGATTTAGAAAGGCCGTTCCGTATGATGGAGCGCGAATTCTTCAGACCGAATGATTTCTTTGGGTTTTCGCCGTATCAAGTTGCACATCGTGATTTCTTTAACCCGGAACAATTTTATAGACCTTGGAACGACGCATTTCGATCAATTGAGAACATTATGAGGCCCATGGAGCAGCTTTCTGCGGCGATGAACCAGCTGGCGCTGCAAGAAGCAGGATCAATCGCGGCAGACGATGAGAAATTCCAAGTGAACGTGGATGTTCAGCATTTCTCGCCCGAAGAAATCGAGGTGAAGGTTGTCGACGGACACGTGATAGTGAGAGGGAAACATGAAGAGAAGCAAGACGAACATGGTTACATTTCCCGCCAATTCATCAGGAGGTATGCTTTACCGCAAGGATGTTTACCCGACACTGTCGAATCCAAATTATCATCTGATGGTGTACTGATCGTTACCGCACCTAAAGTCCTCGCATTACCCTCCACTGGTGAAAAAATTGTGCCAATTACCCACACAGGACCCATAAAGAAGCAATTAGGATCACCGTGTTTTGAAGCCAAGGACGAAGAATCAAAGTGAATGTAAATAATGTGGATATTTTCTAAGACTGATTTAAATTTTGCTATAATTTTTAACCGCCTAAGTTGTTATTCAAATATATTGTTTAAGCATAAACATGAGTTTTATTTTCTCCCTCGCAAAAAAAATAATTTTATGATAAAGAAGATTTAAATAAATATACCTTTATTATGTTCTGTTAAAACAAATTTGCACTAAATCTACCTAATCACTTGCACTGAGGGATCATTAATGAAATTAATGGATTAAATAATAATAAGTAAATATTGTATCCTTTTACGAGAAACGTCATGGCTGTTACTAGAAACTGTCTTCTGGTACATATGCTACTTTGTACATTTTAACAGTTCATTCATACGGTGCTCAATAGTAGTACACTGTCATTAAGTATCTCCGAGAAGTTTTATTATTGTATCTCAATCAAAATCACTGAAATTGTTTCAATTTCGATTTTTCGTACCTAAGCAATAAAACAACCGAACAAATATAGGTGATAATGATTTAATTGAATACTGGAATATTGTGAAAATTAGATGCAAAAATAAGTAGACGAAACGGGCCAAACTTTACATGGCACATTACCCATGTCAACCTAGACCTTCAATTTTGAAATGCATACACGATATAAACAAATTGCAATCGATATAAATACACTTGTTGGCAAGCCGCCCAAACGTAACGTTCGCATCTACTGGCCGTTTTCGACTGGGCTTTCAGTGCATTCTCCACCGCCGGCTTCCTTGGCTCCCTCAGGCTGAGTCCTCACTGGTCCCGTTTGAATGATCGGCACCACTCGCTCGTTGATAGCAGGGCGGGCCAGCGGTGCTGTCACCGTTAGCACTCCGTCAGATGACAGACGTGACTCCACAGCATCGAGATTACAACCCTCTGGCAACTGATAACGCCTCTTAAACTGGCGAGACACGTAACCATGCTCATCTTGCTTCTCCTCATGATGACCTTCGACGACCAAAAATCCGTCAGCCGTCTTTACCGTTATCTCATCCGGAGAAAAATGCTGGACGTCTAAATTGACTTGGAACTTTTCTTTGTCAGCTCTGATGGTCGAACCAGAGTCACGTAAGACGGACGGCATATGCTTCCATGGCCGGTAGTAGTCCCTAGAGTATTGGGGGGCAACGATTGTCAGGACATCTTCGGGTGTTAAAGCTAGGGCGAAATGTTGGTCTTGGAGGCGCCGAGGACGTTCCAATTCCATCAGTAATGGTAGTAGAGACATTTTTGTGAGCTTCGAACACGAGAAGTGCTTTGTGTCGATATGTGTAAATGTTTGTTTGTACTGCGCATGACGTTCTGCGCACTGGTGGTTAATGGCGGCTGTCTGGCCAGCTATCGCAAACCTAGGAACAATATTCTCGCAAACGGTTGCTTTAAATTCTTTTAAAGTAATAAACTAAATTATGATTCCCGATTTTTTGAAATTTGATTAGTGTTTCTTTTTCATTTAAATTACGTAATGCGTTGGTATATTGTATGCTAGGTATCAAAGTTATTTAAGTAATCTTTTTGATACTGATTTAGTTCTATGCCAATTTAGTTTCAAGTTTAGTCCATAAATCATCTAAAAAAATATACTGTAATTACTATTAAAGCAACAGGTTAACCGTTTAATATTATAAGGCAACTGTTTGCTACCCCTGTTGAACGTAAACGAGACACACAGTTCTGTACCTAGAATATAAAACTTGATGCAAGTTGACGCTTCTAAAGGAAGAATGCCTTCGACAGCAAGGTATAAAGCTGGTTTAAGCTTGGCACTCTAAGAGCAAACAAACAAGTCAATATCTCGACGAAAAAAGGTCACAAACACCAAAATTGCAATTTTACAGGACACCAACAGAAGACGCGTAAAACTTGATTAAAAATAGCGCTTAAGCTGATCTATGATACAAAAAAGTTTGAGCCGAAAATAACTTTAAATATTCAAATTTTAGATACTAAATGGTGCAAAACAAATTACTTCGTTACGTATCAAAGTACGTTCAACAGGTGTCTTGGTATTCAAAATGTTAGACTATTGTAAACATTCAATTGTCAGTGTTTTATGGATTCATTAGCTTCCCGTATCGTCGATAGTATGTTTAGATACCCTTACGGACTTATTTCAAGTTTGAATCACAGTGAAGTTTTTTAATAAACCTAGGTATACTTATAGTACTCTAAAGCTAATTAGAGTTATAGAACTTATTATGAATTACATTAAAAATATATATAAAGGTGAATTAAAATTAAATTTATACATTGTGTTTTATTAAACGTATTTGAATAAGGTTTGACTCACATTTTTATCACAGTCACATCACAGTATGCATTAATAAATAAACAATAAAAATAACTTTGTTGCACTTATCAAATTTTTAATACCATAGATAAAAATTATGGTTTTCGTTTAATTAAAGAACTTATGATAGCTTCCAGCTAGCTAGTTAACGATATATGGGACAGAAAACTGTTTTCGGTTAATACTTTAAGTTAATAAAAAGTTTATTGCTAATTTACAAGAAAGGCGAAACACTTCTTTAATGCTAATGATAATAGGTACGTTATCGAGAACACGTGGTTGATTGAAGAATTTTATTTGCGTTAGACCGATTTTATAAATTCTTTCACCTCCGGGTTAGCTACATCATACGAGATTGACATAGGAGAAGTCGCAGGAAAACAACTAGTATGATTTAAAATTTATGTAATGAAAATTGTTGAATGTATTATGTAAATGCTGACACGTTACATATTCTTTATTATATTTATAAAAATTCTAATATAGTGACACTCGGTGTCTTTTTCGTATTTTACTAAAGGTATATTATAATAACATACTTGCAAACCGTTATTTTTGACAACCGTAATAAAAAAAGTTTTGATCTCAACTCAACATAACTGACTCAACTCTCAGCTACAAAATGGTTTAAATTTTACCTATTATTCCAGTAACAAAAAGAAATGTAATAATTGTAATTTGTTCTCCATAGAAAATTTTACTAGTTTACTTTTCGGCACAATCACTTACTTAGCTGCCCGATTTTTTGCAGTTCTCTTTTTCTTTATTCAAAATGAACTCGAAATTTGTGTTTATAGTTAAAGCTCTTATAGTCATAGGCAAAATATATAACGGACGATAACAAGGAACGAAACGGAAAGAAAAAAAAAATATTATGGGTAGTCCATAGAAATCTAATCTTGTGTAAAAAATTATCTTTTTACACAATTGTTAGATTGGGAAAGCCGATTGTAGATTTGATATCTCAGATTCGTAGATTATATTTTGGAATATTATGTACCTGTATCATATGCATTCGAAAGTGGGTAGGTACGATTTATTTATTATAATTAAAAGTTCAATACATAACGAAATAATAATAAACGATACGATGTTCTTAGATAGGTTTTGTAGATTGATAGTTTATAATATATTATTATTTAAATGTAGTACTGTACGGTACCCTATACCATAGTGTTATATTTTTTTTAAATAAATGACTTTTCGAACATTTAATTTAAAATATTGTCATTTTGAAGTTAGGTAAGTCTGTTCTCCTAAAATTAGTGTAAAGTTGGTCACTTTGAGCATAAAATAAGAATATTACGCCAAGTTATTTGTACCCAAAAAATAGTGGTGGTCTATTTTAATTAAATGCTTTATTTCTCAATAATCAGACTAATAGTTTTTTTTTATATTGACATTCCAACGTGAAATGGTTTTCGTTCAAAAATCTAATTTTCGTCTACATGCTGCCCAGTTTTTTAAGCTTGTTTGGCGATGATTCTTAGTATAATATGAAATACGTCTTTCTTCAATTCTGTTAATGATTATACAAAATTTGAAGTATGTAAATCGGATCAAGGGATCATACAAACTTTGTCCCATACAAACTTTGCCTGCTTTCTTCCGTTCTTTCTTTCTTACCGGATTACGTTCTATTTAGAACACATCCTTCAAAATTCAGAGCTTTACGATCAGCGGTTTAGGTTGTATGTTGATCCGTCAATTAGTCATTCAGGACAAAGCATTATAAATGTATAAAAAATCAGTTCACTTCGCAGATAACCTATGAAATAATCTAGCTATTATTTATAATACTTGTTATTATTTTTAAAATGTAATTAATAAAAATTGGATTTTTATTAGCTCTTTTTTTGTCCCGACTGTGATCCAAAAATCCCGACTTTTTAAAATTTTGTCCAGATATTTTAGTCTCGCTATCTGGCAACCCTAGGTACCCACCGAGCCAAAACTTTTCGATAACCAAGCTTATGCAGATGGTGTTCCACAGCGTGGTGACTGCATTTAAGTGCTTCCGCTAATTCACGAGTGGTAGCATCCGGATTCAACTGCAGTTCGCGGCGCAAATCGTCATCATTCACTGCGGGTGGTCGCCCTGAGCGTGGCTGACTTTCAAGGCTCCTGTCTCCTGATTTAAAACGGTCAAACCATCGGGACACCGTCGCATGGCTTGTACTTCCAGCGCCTAATGCATTGTTGATATTGTCAGCCGCAGCCCGCGCACTGTGGCCTAACAAGTACTCGTATAAGTATAGTGTTCGAACTTGTCGCTCGTCCATTTTTCTTCAAACTGACTAAACAAATCGCGAGCGCGGTTTTATATACCCTACACCAGAAGTACCTAGAATGCTCTACAACATTCTAGAATATTATCGAAAAAATTGATTTTAAAAAGGAAATGTTATAGATTTTTCTAGTGTGTCTCATTACTTTTGTGCCAACCCAATATTAAAAAAAATATTGGACGAAAACTGACCTTTGATTGATAATGGTCACTAAAACTCGCATTATAAAATTAGATTTAAAAAAATTCCATACATTTTACAGACAGCAAAGAATTCTTAACGCGCCTTCCAATTAACTGGTCGTATATTTAATATTGTAATAAAAGGTAGTCCCTTTATTTGAGCACCTCATTTAAATAATTTGGTAATGAACTTAACGTTAAAAATTTGTCCCCTCAATAGAGGTCATAAACCAGCTGCAAAAACAATAAATAAACAAAAATGACTCCGCTGCAAGCTGCAACCCTCACATTATCAGTTGGTTTTGGCTTAGAGCTTCATTTAATCCTATTAATGTGTGTATATGAAGGTAATTACTATATTGCATGTGTGTAAGTTTTGTACACTTAAGTATACAAACATTTCTGCTTTTGACCTTTTACTCATTATAGAACAAAACCAACTAGAAGATCGTGCCTTTACCTGCGCTTATTCTATTCTAAGTCATACTGCCCTGCGATACTGTAAAAATCCAGACCCAAATTCTAATTCACTCATGTGTCTGAATTCACACCATTTAGTGTAGAAAGATTCAATTTTTTGTAACAAAAATACAAAACAAAATTAGTTGAATATATGTGTCTCAGATATTCTCTTCCTATGTCATTCCGATACTCACTTCACTTATGTTACTTTACGTTATTACTTATGACTAATTCATGGTTGACCGGTTGCAACTTTTTTAAAGTAAATTCGGACAACTGAGTAAATTCAAATTCGAGTTTGGATTTTTAGAGAATGGCAGAGCTGGTTCAGATATATATTATTAACATAACATACAAAAATATATTATGTTTAAGTAGTCTGTAGATATACGTTTATCTTCTTTGTACAGATAAAAGTAGCGAAAGTTATCAGTTATTTGTTATATAAATAAATCGCAAATATTCTGCTGCAGATGTTTCTCGTGTTGATAGGTATTATGTAAAAATACAAATTACTTATATACGGCCAAGCGGCGGTTGATCCGCTGCAATAGACATTTTTGAAGATCGCATAGGTCAATAAATTACAATTAGTTGGTTTTTACTACAACCTTATCAAGCATAAGTTTGTAGCACAGTCTAAGACTAATGTAGGCACCATGTGTGGTAGTATGGTGGTAGTACGCTGGGTGTAATAGAAAAATGTCCTTTAAGCCTCGCATTTGTAAAATGTAACAGAATTATTAAATGTCAGAAATTCGAAATGAAATCACAAATAAGAGTAGGTATCCTTGAACTAATCTGAATTCGCCTTGACCTTCATAGACCTTGCAGAGAAATTTCGAGCAAAAAATAATAAACCACTAGCGACATGTAGTATCGAGTAGAAACACTATTGCTTACTACAGAGATTCGTAACAATTTTAACGGAGAACCATAACATTTTTAGTGAAAATTTAATTTTGTTCAAACACAACTATCTTAATCATCGTATATAAGGTGTAATAATATTATATGCCAGGACTTCGTCAAGTGGATGAGTTACATATAGTGAACAATTTTTACTATAGGACCAATTCACGGAAAATAATCAGCTATTTCATACAAATTTGTAATACCTACAGTCGCCAAGAGTATGAAACAGCTGATTATTTTTCCATGAATTCAGTGTTACTCCCATAGTAAAAGTTGATCATTATGTGTAACTCATCCACTTCACGAAGTCCTGGCACATGATAATATTATACCTTATACACAGAAATAACACAGATTCACAAAATTGAATATTTTTTCTGATGAATGACTTTTATCATATGATGTTTACTAATTTGACCCCGCTGATTCTAAATATACCCTCATTTTTTTTGCTACAGCTCTTGTTTACGAGTTACAGCTTTCACCCCAAACTGACTGTTCTCTTATGTTATTTTGCTGATAATTTAAATAAAGGAGGTTTTTTCATATAATTTGATATGGCATCGTCAAGTCGAGTTTGTGTAAATGATCCGAACCATTTTTGTTTCATTTGCGGAGAGTATATGTTTAAAGAATGCCGTTTAAATGTGACAGCCTTCGTAAATGAGGCTTACAAAAATTACTTTGGTCATCCACTGGAAATGAAAAATAAGCCTTGGATTCCGCAAAAGGTATGCAAAACGTGCGTTGAGTTTCTACGTTTGTGGACAAATAAGAAAAGGAATAAATTTAGGTACCAAACCGCTATGGTATGGAAAGAACCCATGAACCACCACGACGATTGTTATTTTTGTTTGGTGAACATTACTGGCATTAACCGAAAAAATCGAGCTAAGTGGGAATATCCTTGCATACGGTCGGCATATAGACGTGTTTTGAGCCCTAACATATCCCCTGAACCTCAAGCTGGTGCACCACAGGATGAGCTTGTGCATTTAGAGGCAAATACACACAGTAGTGAGAGTGAGTTTGAATGTGACCTGGATACACCAAAACCATTCAACCAAGATGAATTAAGCGACCTTATCAGAGATTTGGGACTGCCAAAGTCTGCTTCAGAGCTTTTGGCGTCTAGGCTAAAAGAAAGAAACTTAGTAACAAAAGAAACTAAAATTTCTTATTACCACACAAGAGAACAAAATCTTCTCAAATATTTTGCTGAAGAAGATGACTTCGTATTTTGTAAAGATGTACCTGGATTAATGACTGCAATGGCATTACAAAATTACGTTTCTAGTGAGTGGCGTTTATTCATAGACTCATCAAAACAGAGTCTAAAATGCGTTCTTTTACACAATGGGAATAAATTTGGGTCTCTGCCTATTGCGCATTCTACAAAAAGAAAGGAGGAATATACAACAATTGCTCTGATTTTGGACAAAATTAAATATGTAGAACACAACTGGCTCATATGTGTTGATTTAAAAATGGTAAACTTCCTTTTAGGCCAACAAAGTGGATACACAAAGTATCCCTGTTTTCTTTGCTTGTGGGATAGTAGAGCTAAAACTCAACATTGGATTAAAAAAGATTGGCCTACTCGAGACGCGCTAGTACCCGGTCAACAGAATGTGATAAACCCACCTTTAGTATCAAGGGATCGTATAATTTTGCCTCCCTTACATATAAAACTAGGACTAATAAAACAATTTGTAAAAAGCCTCGACAAAAATGGAAATTGTTTCCTTTTCCTATCAAAAAAGTTCCCAAAAGTGAGTGCAGAAAAGATAAAAGCGGGCATTTTTGACGGTCCACAGATACGATCATTAATAAAAGACTCGAATTTTACGGCCAACATGACAGATAATGAGAAAAATGCATGGAATGAGTTTGTCTGGCTTGTTCAAAATTTTTTGGGAAATAAGAAAAGTTCTGACTATTCTCAACACATTGACCAACTAATGAGTCACTTTCAAAGGCTTGGATATAACATGAGCATCAAGTTACACTTTCTCCACAACCACCTGGAATATTTTCCCGCCAATCTTGGGGATCTAAGTGAAGAGCAGGGTGAGCGATTCCATCAGGACATTCGTACGATGGAAGAACGCTATCAAGGCTACTGGAACGCACACATGATGGCTGACTATTGTTGGAGCATTCAGAACAGCTCTCTGCCATCACCTTCAAAACGAAAATCAAATAAAAGGAAGTTTTTTCCAACTTAAGAACTAAATAAAATGGGACTATCTTCAAAAATTTAGTATTTTATTATAAAAACACCCTTGTGTTATATTTTTTAAACAAGAGCTTATACAAAAATTTCAGTTACAGATTTGGAATTGTCATAAAAAATTAGACATATATGATGTATCATAAGCCAATCATCAGGTATGCTGTTGTGCAGTGTAATCAATTTAATGATAATTTTTGAAAACAAAAAATATGTTTAACTGTTAGAAATAGATTTAAATAGTTTTTATGAGTTTTAGAATTAGTACAACTTTGAAATCTATTTTCATTCATTTGTTTCATATGGTATTAAACGCTTTTTTTGTTACCTACCATACCTATTTCATGATATACTTTAGTAACCAATCATTATTAAATAATAAATCTTTTCTATATCTTCCTTATAGAGAAAATAAAAAACTTATTTTATACGTATTTTACGTATAACATTAATTAATACCAGTAACATATAACATTAATACCAATAACGAAAAATGTAATTTACATTTTCATTTGATTTTATATACTAGAATATTGTACACAAAAATTATAATCATAATCATGTTTTCATAATTTATTTTTGTTAGAATAATACAAATGTTTACAACCACTGGCATCGAGAAAAATCGAACACGCCATTTCAAGTGAGCATGCGTTCTAGAGCCATCGCGCTTTCTCATGGCAGTTCTACGCAACAGTTCTAGATTATTCGAGGCTGTTCTAGATGGCGCTCACTTCATTTGCGATATAAAGCCGGTCCCGTCGCTCGAAGAGTCATTCATTCAACTGTAAACAAAACGTGGTTGTAAGAATAAACGCTACAGAAGCCTGTTTCACAAGTGATTTATAAGAGGAATTAATAAATATAACTTCAGTGTTGTTTGTGAAGTGAATTTTTACTCGGTTACAATGTCTTTGTATCCATTTTTCCTTGATTACGAGCGTCCACGTCCTCGACGCCTTTTGGACCAACATTTCGGTCTAGGTTTGACACCGCAGGACTACTTGACTGTCATAGCCGTTCCTCAACCCAACCCTGAATACTACAGGAACTGGAGGAATCTTCAGGCGGCGTCCAGAGACGTCGGTTCAACCATAAAAGAAGATAAAGACAAGTTCCAGATTAATTTGGACGTCCAACATTTTGCACCGGAGGAGATTTCAGTTAAGACTGTCGATGGTTATTTAGTTGTAGAAGCTAAACATGAGGAGCGGCAAGATGAGCATGGCTATATCTCGAGGAGTTTCACTAGAAGGTATGCACTTCCTGATGGAATTGAAACCGACAATGTAACCTCAAAGTTGTCTTCGGATGGCGTGTTAACTATCTCGGCTCCATTGAAAGCTCCACCCAAAGTCGCCAATGAAAGGGTCGTTCCCATCGTACATACTGGTCCAGTGAAGAAACAAGTCGAGGAGAGCAAGGAATAATAAATAGTATAGCGAAAGTTCCAGAAGTCACTAGGTTACGTCGATCTCCTTATTTTGCATTTAAGTGTTTGTTTAATAAATATATGACGTTTTAGTCATAAATTTATTTTGTAGTTTGAATTTCCTTTTAATGAGAATCTGGATTTGATTTGATTCAGCTATACATAAAAAAAAAGTTTTAAACAAAAACATCTATTTCAATCGGAAAGGTTCTTATTGTATTTTTAAAGAGTTTTATATAAAATCGAGTAAATTGGGTGGATTACATACATTACGAAAATGTTCTCGACAACCACAAAGTATTTTATCGCTATTTCAAGCGAATATTCAAGTTTCGTATACTTATTTGAGACGGAGAAAATTTAAACTAGAATTTTTATAGCTTAAAGTCCAAATATGTAGGTAACGCCTGCCAAATTCTATAGGTGATTTTTGATATGATTTCTCAACCAGGAGTTACGAAAATTAAAAGCAGATAAATATTGATGCATATTCCATATGATAAATAATGCATGCATAAGTATTTAATAAATTTACAGGCCCTTCTAGACGATTCATCTTCCCAAACCATAGGTTGTTACGCAAATGTGGGGTTTAAATTACTTTAGTGTTCGGCACCGCCGCTGTGGCCGCACCGGCGCGAAGTACAGACAAGAAAAAAGAGATGTCATTATTTTTCTTCATCATAATCTTTTCTTGAATGTCTTTCTGAATAAAATGTTATCAGAAAAAGTTTTTTTTACCTACTTGTTATTGATTAGAAAAACTTTGTTTTTTTTAGGTTTTGTTCAGAAATACTGATTTATAAAAAAGATATCTAATGAAAATGAAAATATCAACATCCCTTTTTTGTTGTCTCTACTTCCACATCGGGCACCAAAGTTCTTTGAAACCTCACATTTGCCACACAACCATATGGTTCAAGGGCCAATTCTGTTTTATCTTTTATTTTGATTAAAAATTGTTTCGTCACAAGCTTAAGCGACTAGAATATTCGCTTTTAAAATAGAGCGGTAAAATACTTTGTGGTTGTTGAGAATATTTTCGTGATTTACTCTACTTCATTGTACTGTTATGGGGTTGGTCAAGAATATTGGATACAATTATCATAAATATTCACTTTCATATTAGTATTATGAAATAGGAATGCGATTATATTATATATCTTCGTAAACGGTAACTTAGTAAAAGGATCTGTAAAATCAGGGGCGCGACAGCCTAAATCATGAATGTAGCCGAAGTCGTGGCATTGATTAAATCTGTAAATAAAAAACTATTAATTTTAAAACAATATAACGCGTAGGTCATAGCTACGACTACGGCTACGTCCATGATTTAGGCGGTCGCGCTCCATAGCCATTTCTTTCTCCTTAATGTACCAATATTTCACCATGTAGCGATAATCTCGAAGGTTTAATATGTCATCTAGTCAAAGTGATGGAGTTTTAAAAATAAATGTGTACCTATAGATGTGCTTATCATTCGATGTAGAATAGTAAGTATTAAGTTCGCGTTCTACGTCACGAATGTTTGGTTCGCTTGTAGATGCATTTATTACGTCGTCATGACATTACGCACGGATTCGTCTAATCCAGTGTTTCCCAACCCCTGTGAACATGTCTGGGAATTGAGTTTACCCCTAGCTAATTTAAAATGCTTTAACCACACAAATTCGAACAAAAATATTTTTATTAGGTAAGAAATTGCACGTTAGGGTATCTATTAATATATAAATCTCTGACTTAACCAGTGTGAAGGTTGATATTGCTTTGCATTCGTAAGTTTAACAATATTAGATTCGGTTTCACTTAACGCGCATCTCATGTTATACTCCACATTCAGAGACTTTATGGCTTTTGTTTTTAATGTAACAAGAGTCGTACTATTATTTTGTTTATTATTTTTATACTTTTTCGTGTCAACCCTGTTACCCCCCTAGAATTGCCTAATTACCCCCTGCGGGGGTAATTAGGCAATTCTAGGGGGTAATTATTACCCCCAGGTTAGGAAACACTGGTCTAATCTAAATCAATCGACGTAGGATATGCATTTAATTTTATTTTTGTTTTAATAAAAGATTCGTTGTGCTCCTCTAAATCGTCAGAGTCTATAATTCAAGCGAAATCTTTGTCGCCTCAGTCTGAGAATATAAATAATAAAAACGATAATATCGCCATTTACGAGATAAAATCATCCTCTAAGAAAATATCACATATCTTTATAAAAACTGATTTAACTACTGAACCTTTACGATTTCTTATCGATACTTACGGATGCAAGCATGAGCTTCGTCAAACGCCAAGTGGATGAACAATTGCATAAATTGGATGTATGATTGTATTTGTAATATACGTAAGTAAAGACCTAAAAATAGGTAAAACCACTATCAATTTGATATTGATCATTGCTCTGTATGGAATGTATAGTATGTAGTAATTAAATCTATTTTATAGAGTTTTCTTAATTGATAGTTGAAATGTATAATAAATAAATTATGTAATATAGGGAACTGTAGGTTTACTTGTTGTTAATATTTTATCCTCATAAAATGTATAAAACTGTTTGTTTCTCAATAAAAAATAAAAAAAAAGATGCCGAATACCAAACGAATATTAGATGCAACTCAAAAAAAAAATCATATCTAAAACCATAACCTGACGTTTCATTAACATCCGAAGCCGAAATATCCAACTACTGATAGATACATAGCCGTAGAATAATAAATTACAATGCTATAAAATGTAAATGCTGTATAATATAAAAGTTCATATACTGATCACTAGATGGAGCCAAGCATTTTGAGTAGCATCCAAGTTTCTGTTACTTCTGCGGATGTAGAGATGGCGTTTATTGTCTTTGACTCTATTTATTCAGGTTGAACTCTATTATATCTCTACAGATAGTCAATATTTTATGTTGATTTCTTCTTGACTTCAACGAACCGCAACAGATTGGAAAACGTGTTGGTTTCAGTTTTACTTCTTTTTTTTTCTCCATAATAACTATTTTCAGACTTGAACTGCTACAAACGTGTTATTTTTACTATTATCCTCTTTTATTTCTTCATAGTAACCTTCTTTGGACTACAACGAACTCCCACATATTAGAGTATTATTATTTATTTTGCTTGTCCGCTTGACGTTCACAATGTCCTTTCCCAGACTTTAATGAAATACTACAAATTAAAAAAAATTGTTTCACTTTTTCTCTAAATTTTTCAATTATCAGGCTTCAGCGAGCATAAAATAAATTTACTAAAAACTTATCTTGGACTTTTTTCAATATAGGTATTAGGTTTAATTTAGTAGCTGTTCTTCAGTTTTGCGCTTCTCTTTTATTGGTGGGTGATTACTTAGAAAACTTCTAACACGCACGGACGTATCTAGAGACATTTTCTAGCTAGAATTGTTGTGATTATTTCTGGCCCAGTGGTCTGGGCTTAACCTGGAGATAATTGCTAAAACTTTTTGTTAGTGTAAATTTGTGGAGTGAGCACCAGGCTATTCTCTGGTTGGTAAATAACGACTAGAAACTAATCGATCTATTGTATATAAGTAAGTTCGATCCATAAATAAGTGCTTATATCCTTCGTGTAATAAACTTATAAGTTAAATATTGTTTTGAGATATGTATGAGCATCATTATTTTTCCCACCTCGTCCCTTTAAGAAAAAAACTACAAAGGTACCCATGCTATGTGGAAAAGACAATATTGTTTAATTGGTAGGACAAAATCATTCTGATAGACTTGAACTGACATTTGTCACAAAATATTTTTAATTACATTTTGTGACTATACATTGACCCGACCAGATAACGAACCAGGGAACTCAGAGTAATTGAAAAAATAATTCAGAAAGGCATCTTTTAACATTGATATATGTATTTACAAATATATTTATGGCATATGAAAATGCAGTCGTATACCTAACTAGGTATATAACAGAAACTTGAGTAATCCTGAAAGTGAGTTCTAAAAATGAGACCGCATCGCCCACAGGCAGTTTAATTTTGTCATGACGTTATCTCGATGCCTACGCGTCAGGGATGTTATATCGTTACTGTTACTCCACAAAGGATCGGGTAATCATCGTTAAATTAACTCGCTATATCAATACAGATTTTTGCCGTAGATTAGAGACAGATGCGACAATTGGTTTCACAGAAATAAATTTTTCCTTTCTGTGATTGGTTCGCGCACAGATTTTTTTAGATATATATACATACTTATTAATTTTGTAATGTATAGAACTATTTAATTTTTTTCAGAGGATCAGGGAATTGATACAACCTTTTTGTTGTTGTACTGGCGAGTGTCGATGGACGTTATGTGGGACTCTCCTCCGTGGGTGCATCCAACGGATATATTCATTTAATATTTCTCAGAGGCCTACTTACCAAAAAAAGCTACAGTGAATCTAGTTTGCCCTCACACGTTGGATACGACTCGGGAATCCGTATTCACCTACAACGAGATGCACGGTCCGTCTTCGCAGGTGAAGAGGATCGTATACACCCCTCAGACAGGCGAGGTCGTACGATGTAATTTCACTTCACCTAAAAATACTTTCGGTTAGTGGGCGTGCTCAACTCTTTCTGCCTATAGACGATTCTTCACACATGCTTTTTTATAATCTTTGCCAATTCGCCATCTCGTTTTATGACACACGTAAACTGTTTATAATCGAGCGACGCGGGTTTATGTCTGATTCGTTAACCCCCTTTAAAACTGTATACTCGAACATAGAGTGAGGCCTGAAACTGGGTTAAAATGAAATTGAGATAGCTTACATTCATTCTACCCTTTGTTTTGTCGCATCATTCGCTATAAAACAATGGGGATTTTGATTGTTTATTTATCGTACGCCAATAGGTACATACATTACATGTTGTGTTGCTATGTTGAAAATAAAATAGCTATATTTAGATAAGTAACGTTTTTGGTATGACCCTAGGGCATATCGAGGGATCTTTACCGGATATACCTACCTCAGAGGATACTTCAGATGCTCAGTCCGCTGTAAGGGTCCGTAGGGAGAGTCCAACACATTGTTTATAGCTTATCATGTGGTAGAGAGTGGATAATGTAATTTTCTTTAGTTTCGA